TAGTAAAACAATAGGCTCCAAGCCCTTGACACATCGTGTAAAACAAAATGGTACAATATCTTCAATCAAATGTGTTTCATTCCTTTTGAGAAATCAAATGCACTAATAGCGACCATTGATTATGATAAACTTTTCCATTACATGATTGGTTAACAGATATAAAAATAATAATTTAAAAGGAAAGAGCATATCAAACTTTGTATTACCTGAATCTTGTCTTAGTAGTTTCAGTGTCCGCCACAACGTGTTGTGACTCAAAACTTATTTTAATATAAATGGTCCAAAAGGTACAGGATAATAAATAAATTATAAACTTGGCCCATTATCCACAAACATAATTAATTATAAAAAAAATTACCCTTTATCAATTAACTATTGTTAAACGAATAGTTCAAAATTTTCAAACCAACTTTCCTCACTAATCTGAAATGACTCGAGGCAACTATGGGAGCGGTAAAATGGTAACCTTACAAAAATTTCTTAAGATAACCTTTTGGGCCATTACACAATCCGAGACTTGAGCTTTTCCTTTCTGAATAATATCCAAAGCCACACAATCTAATTCAACAAGTAATCCAAATAAGATTCCAGAAATGATAACAAACATATCATACACTTTGAAAAATGGGTCAAATCAACTAGAAAACACAATTCCAAAAATGGGGTTTGTATTCCAAAATCTTTACTTGAAATGTTATCCAAGGCTTTTTGAACTCATTCGTGAAAACCATTTTAAAAAAAGAGTTAAAATTAGTTCTCAAATAACATTTATTTTAGGGGTGTGTTTAGTATGAAGGAAAATGTTTTCCTAAAGAATGTTTTATTGGAAAATAAGTGCATTTCTAATTTATTTTCCCAAACTAGGACAAGACCCAATGACCGTTCCGAAATCCGAACGAGGGAAAAAAAATTGAATTTTTTTTTAAGAAGAACAATTTTAACGGGGTCATGGGGTGGGGGAGGAAGGTGGGGTTCGCAGCTGGGGAGTGGGGTACGGGTGCCGGGTTGTAACACCTGGAAACTAGTAAGCTAAACTAGAGACTTCTAGAGCTTGATGTGAGGGACACAATCGTAAATATGACTTCCCGTACTTAGAATGATGGTTTTAGGGTTAGGGCATCAAGGTATGACCCCCCAATGACAAACCAATGGTCCTTGAGGGGGACCCAAAACAACCCCTAGAAACTGCCCAAAAATGGGCCACCTACGGATGGGAGTCACGCCCAGTAGGTGGAACCACGCCCAGTGGGAAGGGGTCGTGGGTCAAGACCCCAACTTAGGACCTGCAGGACACCACCCATGGATGACCAACATGGCCCGTGGGTCCACCAACAGTCCGTGGGTCGGGGTCTCGTGGGTGAGGCAACCTTGAAGTTAAGTCGGTTTAAGTCGGGGGTTAGGGGAAGGTCCTAGAATTAATTAGTTATAAAGTGGTGTTATTTTATTTAGTAATTAGACCTCCTATATAAACCTATTAGACCCCTAAACTAAGTCAATTAAATCATCATATCTAAATCCCCAAATCAAACCCAATTCTCTCCAAGAAATCCTCTCTCTAGAAAGAAGAAGAAGAAGAAGAAGAAGGGTCAAAGCTAGGTCAAATTCCTCCATTGTTGCAATATTTTGTAGGGCTCTATATCCAAGGTATGATAGCTTATTAATCCATGGATTCTTCCATCCATGGAGCCCCCTAGATTTCCCCCAATTGTGAAGATTAACTCCAATTCTAGCTAGGGTTTCTTCCCATATTGTGGGTAGTGTTGAGTATGAATTCAATTTAGTGGATAGTACTTGTTTATGATTGATTTATTATTGAGTTATGTTATTATTATGATATTATGTGTTTTCCATGGCTAACCCTAGCTAAGTGATGAAATTGAACTAATGTGGGTTTGTGCCTTAAGGAGAGAAATTGAAGATTTATAGATGGTCTTCTAGAATTGATGTTATGAGTAGTAATTGTTCAAGAATAGAAACATATAGACATGAATTGAATTGGATTATGTTATATATGATGGATTATTACTAGTAAAGCATGAAGTTGAACCTTTATGATGATTTATGATTAGAATCACTTAATAATGATGAATGTGATTAGAATGCCTTGAAACCTAGGTATGAATAATGATTATAAGAAGTAAAGCTTTGAGAGTAAAGCTTGTAGTCATGAATGTTTTATCACTAGGGTTTTGAGAGTAAAGCCAATATGATGAATTATGTATGTTAAGGCTCTAAGGGTAAAGCTTATATGATAATGGTAGACTACTAGATAGAATGGTTGTGGTAAGACTTTACTCACCTAATCTACCTTATGAATGTTTGAATGTATGAAGTGATAATCACTTGAGTCATGATGATATCCATGTCTAATGTAGAATTCTAGATATGATATTATGCATGAATATGATATGATATGAAAGGTTCTCTCACGTAGAATGATTCTATGTTGAAAGGTTTTCTCACCTAAAATAAATCCAAGTCCAAGGACTATGAAATGTGATGAGGCTTGTGGTGATTACCCTAAAGACCTTTGTATGAGAGGGATGTGAGGTAACTTCCCTTATCCCTATATAGATAATCATGAGGAGATTACCCATGACATGATATTAGAAGTGTGTGGTAACTGCCCTTAAAATATGACCCTTTATGATGATCATGGAGGCGAATACCTATGATCCTTATGAAATGATGTGGAGGTGAATACCTACATCATATAATTGTGGGGCATGGAGGCGAATACTTGTGTTTCCCTGAAATAGATATGGAGGCGAATACCTATGACGATACATGTAAAGTAAGAGGTGAATACCCATTTGGCATTTATACTAGACATAAAGAGGTGAATACCCATTGGTTCTTATGATAGACATAGAGAGGTGAGGTCCCATGTCTTATGAATAAGTAAAGAGCAATATGAAAATGTCTAATGTAGATTGTATCTTGATAGGCCTTCCATGACATATATGCCTTGAGGTGATTCCCTTTGAATTATGAAAAATGAGCATGACTAGGTTGGGTTGTAGCTTGAAAAGGCCTTTCCAATACATGCATGACTAGAGGTGATTCCCCTTGTCTATCAGAAATGAGTTAACTAAGAGATTTAGAGATGATAAACCTGAATGAAGAACCTAAAGTGTCTAGCTTAGCATGGGTAGGATTATGGGGTCTTGTTCATGCATGTCACAAGCTTGCCTTGAGGTGACTCATGAAGTGTTCTCTTATATGATGTATAGATAGGATTTTGTTATAGTTGCCTTCCTTGTTATGTTATGACTGACTAAAGCTGAGAGATTCCCTTGGTTATGAGAATTTAGCTAAGGATGAGACCATGAGATGGTAAATATGATTATGATGGACAAAGGGGATACTTAGCATGAACGGGATTATGGGGTCTTATTCATGCATTTCACAGGTATACTTGGAGGTTACTTATGAAATGGTTCTCTTATGATATGAAAGTCTAAGTATTGACTATGTATGTGGACTATGCTTTATGATGACTAATGCTTACATTATGTCTATGTTGGAGATTATGCTTTTGACTATGATATTGTCTCTTATGCTTATACTTTGTGTTTCATGAAGTATCTCTTATGTTTATGGATCGTGTTTTATGTTGACTAACTTTTATGTTATGCTCTTATGATGTTATGCTACCTATCATATTTAGTACTTTTGTACTAACGCATACTTTTGCCTACATTCTCATCAAATGTAGGGTCCGGTGATTGAGTTCCATTCTTCGAGATAGGTTTATAGAAGTGCAGGGAGTTGAAGACTTGGTGAGTCCTCATAGCATCGAGAATAAAGCCACCATTCCATTTATGTCTTTTTTTTTTTTATATGTTTTGAGACTATTGTATGGACTGTGTCCCAAGAGTTGTTCAAGTATTATATCCTAGATGGTTTGAGACAAAAGTGTAGTAACACTTCCACTTCATTTTATAAAGACTTTGATTGTATGAAAAATGTTTCAAAATTCCGCACTTTTCTATTATCTTATGTTATGATATGCTAAGGGCTTGTATGAGATCCCTTTGGGGTCAAGTACGCCATGTTACATCTAGGGTGTACCTCTGGGTCGTGACACGGGTGGAGGTGGCATAAAAAATGCAATTTAAAAAAAATGGAAATACATTTCAAAAGAATTTTTTTTTAAAAATATTGACCGGGGTAGCCTGGGTGGAGGTGGAGGGGGGGAGTAGGAGGAAGGGATGGGGTGGCGTAAAAACTGATTTTTTTTTGAATTTGAAATATTTCCCAAAAACAATTTTTTCTTAATCTGACTTTTTTACGGGAATCAGGGGTGGGGGTAGGGTGTAGGGGTTGCGTAAAAAATGAAATTTTGGGGGTAGAAATAAAAATGTATTCGAAAATTTTAATTTTTTTTAAAAATGGAGGGTCGGGTACGGGGTATGGGTAGGCCGTAGGGTAAGAAAAAATTAAAGGATGAAGTAGAGTTTGGGAAAATGTTTTCCTTAATTTTGGAAGGGAAGTCATTTTCTTTAAAATTTGAGGAATATGAGTTGATTTGGAAAACATTTTCCAAACATTTAAGCAAACCAAACATGGGAAAATTCGAAAACCTAAAACTCAAGTTCTTGAAAACTTTTCACTTGGCCAATCAAAATTCCAATTTCTGACGTTAAAATCCACAAATGATCAAAGGGAATTGATGTTTTAGGGTTACAAAGACAACCCAAATGATTCACCAATGAAAATCTCTTTAAAATCGCCTCTAAGGGTTTCCAGAACTCAAAATGGAGAAAAATGAGGTAAGCCCCAAAATTTCAGTCCAAAACCCTGTCTAATATGGCAAATGTGACTTAGGTTCATTTTTAAGAACAACGCTAAAACGAGCACTAGCTTGCAAAAGTAAACCCCGGATAAAATGTGACTCTCGCTTTCGTGAACCAACCTTCGTTTACGCAAAATTCGCAAAAGCAAGCAAGTCCTCACGAACCCTTTGGTCAGACAACTTGACCCCTAGCAGACGTGAGCTAGGCTTCGCTGATGCGAAGGCCACAAAAGCGACGACCCTTTGTGAAAGCCAGGGACACCTGACATCACAAAATTAAACCAAATCTCAAATTTCTAAATGGACCCTCAAGATTCGTTAGTAACCCAGTACACAAAAAACACATATGCAACTTTAGTAAACTTGACGTTTCAGACTCAATGGAATAATCGAAACGTGAATATGAGGTTTCCTTAAACAGAAACTCGTGAAAATCGCATTGAACAAACATAACACTTTAAAAGGCCAAAATAAGCTCCATACCTCTGGAAATTCAACCAAAACCTCCTCTAGGCCTAAAATTTTCCCTTATCCAACGAAACTATCGGAAATCCAATTCGAGCATATGAATCCCAAATGTTGACCAAAGTCAACCTAAAGACTAAAATTTCACAAATTTCAAACTTAGGACCTCAAATCAACAAAATGATTCTGAATCTGAAACAGACAATTCTCTTGGACCAATTTACCCATTCGAGGACTGTTGGTCTTAATGAAAATCCATTTCGAAACCCAAAACTCCAGAAGACACCGAAAATCACTTTTAAGCAACTTTAGAATTTTGAATTCTAAAAGTTTCATAACCCACAACTTCTTACTCAAAGTTCAAAACCAAATTCAAAATCCAATCAGAAATGACTTGGGGTCAATATCTAGGGGGGAGGGGGGTAAAATGGTTATTTTACAAAAAATCCAAAAATGACCTTCCAGGTCATTATACTTTGGTTGTCAAACTTTAGGAGAATAGTGGAATTGACGACGCAACCATTTCAACCTATAGGCTTCTTTATATTTAAGAAGAAAATATAAAGAGAAGAAGGTTTCAAAAATCTAAATATTCTCATATATTGACCATTTGCATATTTCCTCTTGTCGTGTAGTTTTTGTTTTGAAAAAAATGGTTATTTTATCACATAAGGGTATGGGGAGAAGAAATGAGTGAAAGGATTAAGAGAGGGACAATTGAATCGTCGCCAATAAGGTGATCAAAATTTAGGTAGTCAACCAATTGACATACTGACTTCTATTGTGTTGTAAATAATGATATGGTTATCACAATTTCCTATCATGAAGCAAATGTAAAATAACAATCATAGAGAAATGTGATGAGTTATTCTTAGTGAGATAGTTTTTCCTCATTTGGAATTGAACAATTATAACTAATGTGGCGACTTAATAAAAGAAAGTAATGCTACCAAGAGTGTAATTATAACTGATGTAGTAAGTTATTGAATAAATTAATGAAAAGGAATAATTTCAGAAGTTATTTTAGTAAAATAATGGATCATACTTCAAATTTTGATGTCCAAAGAGAATATGTGATATAAAGAAAAATGAAACATTTGAAATAAAGAAGCTTAGTAATTAATAAAAAAATGAGGAAAAAAGACCCCTATAGAATTCTAAATTTTAGATAATAACAGAGTAGATAGCTCTATGAGAATTGGGGTTTTTAACCACCCAACCGTTTGAAGGAGCTTTTCAGGGCCATTTAAGGGCGGCCAACTTAACCCATCAAAACATGACCCGAGCTTTTTGCACTTTTATGGGGGTAAAATTTCAATTTTGAAACCCATAAATTACATCGCAAAAGGCATAACAAGTTATGTCGTACTATAATACTTAATTTCTGCAGAACTCGTATTGAGTGAGGCAAAATTTCAATTTCTGAAACAACAAGTTATCCCCTAAAAGGTATAATAGGTTATGTTGTACTGCATAACTTAATTCCTACTAAAGCTTATGTTGAGTGAGAAAATTATTTTCTAAACTTATGTCTAACGAACTATGTCCTAAGAAACTACACAATTTATGTCACATAACTTAATTACTACATAACTTATGTGGAGCTAGCTAAAAGTTCTCTTAACTTACGTCTCGATTTGATTAAATATATTCTGTTGAATCTGATTATAGGGTATTATCAAATAGGTGAGGCTCGCTAATAACATCCCACGATTCTTGATTCAAAGAATGTCCTAAGAAACTACACAACTTATGTAACATAACTTAATTACTACATAACTTATGTAGAGCTAGCTAAAAGTTCTCTTAACTTACGTCTCGATTTAATTAAATATATTATGTTGAATCTAATTATAGGGTATTATCAAATAGGTGAGGCTCGCTAATAACATCCCACGATTCTTGATTCAAAGAATTGTTATCTCCATATCCAAGTCGAAGTCACAATCATCACCTTTATAAAGATTCTTCATCATTTCTTAAAACTTTCAACTTACTTGTGTACGCCTAGATGTATGACTTTTGTAGGATAACATTTTCACACACCCATTTTAAGAATTTTCCAATTAAAATAACATTATTGAGAAGAGATTATTTTATTTACCGAAATAGAGTCATCACTTGGAATTGAGTTATGGTGTTCTAAGTCATCTTTTTGAATACCTAATCAAAAGGAAATAACTCTTTTCATTGGTCACTGAAAAATAAAGGACCAGATAAGGAATTCTACTGATCCATGTAAAGGTATGAGCCACTCCTAAATCATGTGGTTCTAATGTAGTCGCTATTATCAACTTATAGTTGACATAAATTAGTGTTGGACAAATTAAATCGTTAATTATGCGTATGGTTTGATTAAATTGTTCAATTTTATTGGTCTTAAGTAAGACACGAAGTTGCAATCATGGCTTCGATATACACCAGTTAGAACGCATAAACGCGACCTCACCTTGTGTATCACATCTTAAATTTGAGCCAATTTGTCTTGGTTAAACTAAAAGTTATTATTGTATTAAAAGTGTGTAGGTCAAGACACATAAATATTACCTTGTCATTTTATTTATATTTCCTTATCTGAGACGCAAAATTGAGACCTCATGCAACACTATATATTATTCGTGCCCTCTTTAGGGCTTAAGACTTATGAAGCATTTATTCTACTATGTTGGGACAACTAGTTTTGTCCCTCTTCTCTCATTTATTTTATTGATTGCAACGGGTGTTGAATAAAACAATCATCTTACCTTAAATAACTTTATTAAGTAATTAAGCCCTTAGATTTCATTCTTGAGCGAAAATTTCTATTGTTGACGTATGAGCTCAATAAATTCAAAAGCCTAATGCATTATTAAAAATAAACAAACTGATTACCATGACCCTATTTTCCAAAATAAGTAATCAAATCTTATAGTGAACTACTCCCAATTAATCCAAATAAAATAGTTCACTTTAAACATAAAAGCAAGTAAGAAACACATGACAAATTATTAGAAAAAATAGAAGCATGCCAACCCCGAATATGACTTGTTTTTTTTAAAGGGGTCGAAGTTGTAAATAAGCAAGATAAACTAATATCATTCATATTATAAATATCATAAGAGTCTACAACCTCATCTAATGGGTTTATAAGCTATTCATACTAGAAATGAAAAATACAAGATAAAATATGTTGTGAAAATATCGTGGGATATTAACTACCACACAATCACAAGCAAATATAATAGAAAAGAAAAAAAAACACAAGAATTTAATGAGGTTAGGCTAGACTAATCCTCCAAGCAAAAGTAGAGAGAGTTTTTAACCATGAACATAAAAAAAGAAGGGTACAATCCTTTAGAATCTCCAACTACATCCCCTATATATAGATCCCAAGTAGTTATATTCCTTTTCCAAATCAATTAGAACAAAGAGTGTTCTAAATCAACAGGGATTATTAATTTTCATGGAAAAAATCAAGACATAATTAACAAAATGTAATAACAAACATATTTAAAGATTAAACAAAGAAGAAGATGCAAACTTGCTGAGTCCAACTAACCACACAAGTGTACACAATTGCACAAATAGTATAGAGCTTTTAGTCCAGATATCATACCCACAAAGACTTGTCAATCAACCATTTACGTAATTAAACTAATTAATGTGCTGCCCCAAGTGCCAAACTTTAGAAACATAAAATTCGACTCGGTTGGCGCACTACTTAGCTCGTTGCGTGCCTTATCAAGGGCACTACGTGGCATGTTGTATCAGGTCTTTTTTGAGTGAAAATTATTTAAAAGTGAAGTCCAAGAGGATTATCTAAGATATATATATATATTATATGAACAGATAAAAAACATAACAAATTTAATATTTTACTACTGAAGTACTGGACATTCCATGTTTTCAACCGATCAATGTAGACCAAATAACGATTTAACAATTGAATGTAAATAAAATAAACCTTAGTCTTAACGCAAATTAAGTGGCTTAACCTCCAGATCCATCAATACAAACTAAAATATTCTTCAATGTTTTGTCAAAAAACAACAATACGTATTGTCTTCAAAATCATCATGTATATAGACACACTAAAGGCCATAAAAGCCATGTTAAATCTCACGATATTATTTCTTGTTAGGATGGGAACCTTCTCCTTCATGGAAAACATAAACTTGTAAGTAAAGGCCTTTGTTGTGTTTTGCTCTCACAAATTCACAAATACACGTATCATTTTTCTCCAAAAGGTTCAGCCTACATAAACTGCGCCATCCGCCAACTAGCCATATTCTACCATCTTTCCAAATCTTGAGTTTTGCCTCAAATTCTTTGCCAGAAGAGTCACGAATGGTCATGTTTGAAGGGAGTTCAAGTTGGTACTCTCCGAACACATCAATCGGAACCGGAACGTATTACAATTAGGAAAAAAAAACTTTTGTTAAATGAGAATATTATAAGATTGAACTATAAAATAATCAACTAAAATAGTTATCGGTTAATAATTACTAGTTGATTTATCCTATATGGACGTATTTTTGTTACAAAGTAAGGATTTTTTGGCTTAGTTGCATGTCCACTTCTAAATATATCTGTAGCAAATTGGTCATGGGGATCATTCACCTTACCAACAGTCACACTTTTATATTTAACTGAATAAAAAAAGTTAAAAGGTCAAGTTCACAAACAAAAATAACATGGATACTCAGAGTTACTCCATATATTTTATTTTACAAGGTCTTCTTTTATTGAACATGGATTTTAAGAAAATAAATTGGACTTTCGACACATACCAAAATTATTAGAAAATGATATTTAACTTGATTATACTTTGTTATTCCAAAAATTGCCCTTAGCAGGCTCGTTTTGTCAGCGGACCAAACGACTAAACCTTTTAAAAAAATATTTTGAAACATGTATCCTTAAATCTATCATGACACTAATATGAATACAAGATCATGTCTAAATATTCATAGATGTCATTTTTATAGTAACATACTAACAAGAGAGGAATTGAATTGCATATAAGATTAACAAAAGAGTAGATTTAAAGATGTTTAATTTGTGTTTACCTTTTGAACGTGGTGCCTTTTTGTTGAATATGCCAATCCTTTCTTTCTCTTCCTTATCCTCTTCTTTGTATTCATCCTCTTCATCATCTTTATCATCTTCTTCTTCCTTATCTTCATCTTTTGATTGCACCTTTTTTGTCTTTTCACATTCCTTCTCTTCATCCTCTTTATCTTCTACCATGTTAGCCCCATCCCTATCCTCATTAGAAAAAATGCTCTTGTTATCTCTAGCCCAAGTATTCTCCTTTGGATCCACACTCTTTTGATGTTCAACATTCATTTCATCTGTTTCCTCCTCCTTCACAACAAGTTTTGAACCTCCAACTCCTTTCTTTACACATCCATTTCTTCGAAGTAGTTTGAAGTCAAAAGTTCTAATTCCATCATAGTAAAAAATAAAGAAGTCTCCAAGCTCTACGATGTTGTCTTCAATGAATTTTTCCCATCCATTTTCTAAATAAATATGTTTTCCTGATTTGGTTACCCCTATTGGCCACATATTTTCAAACTGGTCTCTAAGAAAACATTCGTAGGTAATATTCCATTCATTTAATCAGTATAACTTGTAGGAATTTTCTGTGAAGGAAAAAAAAGTTGACTATTGAAAAAATAAATGTAGAGCAACATTAATTTCTTTAAATGACATTGACCTTATCATAAAAGCAACAAGTTTTAGATGAAAAAGTATTTCAAATAAACTCAAAGTTTGAGACTTTTGCGGTTAAAATTCAAGAATGTACCTATTTTAGAAACTATAAAATAAAATGTGAACCATTTTCATAGTTTTACCATAAAATTACTTCCTTCAACACTAATAATATTGTTAGTTTGAAATGAAATATGAAATTTCTAACATCAATTGGCTAAATTAAACATATTATTGATAAAAAAAATTAGGGATTTAACATCTATAGAAAATCGTATAAAATTTGTTTGCCTCACGAAAAGACATCTATCCACCTTTTACTTTCCCTCCCCTTATTCAAAGCACATATATTCAAAAAGTATTAATTAAAAATGTTTTAAGGAAAATAATCAACAACAATCATTGATCAAATACATGAATATAAGAACATAAAAAAAGGATGAAAGGGAAAGCACAATAACAATATATGTGTATATATATATATATATATATGTATATATAATAACACGCCGTATCTAAGTTTTACAGGTTTAAATCTCAACAAAGCCTTCCCCTCCCCCATATATATTCGGTGCTCGCATCTATAAAAAGAAGAAAAAATTCAAGAAAGAAAGTATCATCAAAGACCATGATAGGGGGAGTATACTTACTAGCCACTTCTCACTAGTTTCACGGATGAAAACCTTGAAGAAGCCCTTTTCCATCTTATTTTTGATTTTTATGGTTTAGGAGGATATCATAATTGAGGTGCAACCTTTTCACTCTAAAAGAGAATATGATTGCAAAAAAATAGAATTTTTCATATATTGAAATTAAGCTTGTTGAGTGGGCCGCACCAGTCAGACTGGCCCATTAAAAAAAATTACACTAGTCTCCAGTCCCAGATTGGGCTGGATCTCCCATAACTGGGCCAGTCTAGTTGAGGCTTATCAGTAGCAAAACTTTGGTCTGGCCCATCCCACAACACGTTAGAGCAATTTTATCAGGCCCACTAAGCAGGGTCAAGTTTTGACCTAGTAGCTGTACCGGGTCGTTTAAATCAGACCTCTATTTCGGTACAACGAGAAGGAGTTTACTATGGTCATGACTAAATGGGCCGAGTCGTTACATATTATTTTTTTTTATCAATGTTTATTAATTTGAAAGTTTCATTCAACTATCAATTTAGTGTATTGTTGTCTATTTAATTTTGAAATAAATGTAACTATTTAAATTAATAGAATACTTGTATATATATATATATATATACATACATACATACACACACACACACACTACCAAAAAGGCATTTGCCTATGTCAACCCAGATGCCTCTCGACATGTCACTTCGCTTTAAGATTACACCCGACATCCCAAAAAGACCTTATATATATATATATACCCTTACAGTGGATACCAAATATACATACAATATACTATCTATCATAATAGTATATATATACAAGACATAAAACATACAATAAATAAAAGTTACTAATTACGACTTAGAAGATACTAAAATATTATTATTTTGAATTTTTATGTCAATACTTGTTTAAGTAATATTTGCTAACATTATTTTTTCAAGTATTGACTTATTAAAGTGACTGCATATTTAACTTTCAATATATGGTTATGTAAAGTAATTAAAATTATTTAATTGAAGATATACAAAAAAATTTAAAGAGAAATTAAGAAATGCAAAAATTCAATGTCTCTGACTTTATTAATAGATCGAATTTTTTTCTTGTTGTCCTCCTCCTCCTCCTCCTTCCAAATCTTGTGATCTTCTTGTATTTCTCCGCTCTGATTTAATCCAATCTCTGAGGAAAACTAAAACATGCATGACATTGCTCCCCAGTGAGTTTTGATCCTCTATAATCTGTTGCATTCCTTGACTAAATGCGTTCTCCGATGCAGCAATTTACATTGGAACATTTAGCACATTCCTAGCTATTGTAGAAAGTACTGGACATTGTTTTTGGTTGTTCTTTCACCAATCTAGCGTGCTATCATTATTCTGATAGGACTCCGGGGACTATCTTAAATACTCATCTCAATTTACGTTCCTCTGTGATGTAGGTTGTATTCTATTTCAAATAGATAATTTAATAACACAATGGACACACATACCTTATGCCTATCATTTAAGAAGATGATGGACCATCAGAAGGACAAGATAGAGGAACAATATGAGAAGGTGTAACATTATCAAGTAAAGTGACATAATTATTATATAATATTTGAATATAATCATTTGTATCACTCATTGTCTTAAACGTACTAGGTTCGTCTTCATTTTTAACTTCTAAAGAACTATATCTGATGCTAACAATTCGTACAGAGTAGAAACATTCATACACAAATTTACCATAGCACCAATCCAATAAATAGGAGGATTAGGAAAAAAGTATTTTTAAAATTATTCAATAATTTCAATAAAACCTCTTTGTAGTCTATGTTAAATTAATATTCACTAAGCAATAAACAAAGTTTGTCTATGTAAGATAAACTATTACAAATGGTAGGATTATAAGAACCGAAAAATTCAACAGTAGCGGCATAAAATTATCTAAAATAATATCAACAACAATAATTTTAACCCAATCAAATTCTTGCAACATGACTTCGGGAAATTTATATGCATATTAGTTAAAGTCACTCTATAAATATTATAAGTTCTTTAAAAATCAAAGTAGAATTCCACCTAGAGAACTAATCTCTCAATCTATCCCTAACTCTACGGGGTACAAAATGGCCAAAAAGTCCTCGGAAAGCTGCATCCTTATCAATGGAGGGGACCCAACTAGTGTACACTCTATGATTATTGTAACACCCCAAAAATTCTACCCCAAATTCTGACCATGAAAATTTGAGCAGGTGTCACCGGAGCTTTCTATGGCCCATATAGGAGTGGGACCAGGCCCTTGAAAGTTGGTTCTCAGGTCTAAGTTGCATGGACCAGACTACGAATTGTAGTAATTCCTACGGTCCGTCAAAAGGCCTCATGGAAATAAAGTCCTTATGCACACTCACGGTAAGTTTTCTACGAACAAGCAAGATGGGCTGTCATATTTTTAATGGGCCATCGAAAGGGTCTGTAATCCTCAAATTTAGAATTCTAGAAAACTCAGCATGTTCCTACGAGAGGGTCTACACCTCCTAGACTTTTGTACGGACCACATATGGCCTTTCAGAGATGGCTTCTGTCAGTTTTGAAGAGAAGTTATTATAGTCTTTTCCTACCCTTTGTAAATCTAAACCCTAACGTTTTCACACCTAATTAAGGTCACAAGAATCCCCTAGCACAAAATTGAGTTAAAATCTTTCTTACCGATTAATTTTCTTATATAATATGCTACTTAGATAAACTTCAAACAAACATATCTCTCATCATATAATGAATTAGGTGGCCTATGACCTATAAACTTAAAGATCTATGAGTCTCTTTCCAAAGCCACCAAGTTTACCTCATTTCTAGTTCGGAATAAAATGTTATGCTCATTTTAGTGAAGCTTCGTCAAGCACTTGATGTTCTATGACCGAAACTACAGACCATAATGTTCCATTAACTGTTGAGCCTTCTGTGGCGGCTTTCTATGAATTGTTTTTCAGAAACTTTGTGAACGTGTTCCTGGGTTAATTTTGTCCTTTCTCAAGCTCTTTAGCCCTATTCTAACTCATTTTTTTGGGTGTTTTAACTAACTATATCATTCAACTAACTAGTTTTCCTCTCAATGAATCATCAATCTAAACATTCAAGTATCTGTGAATTCTCTCAAAACTCACATAGGTTTTCTCTTCTCCATCAAGAACCCTAAAACCTTCAAGTCAAAAATTCAAGATACAAAGAGAAGCTTCCACCCAAGGTTTTCCAAAGTTATTTCACCCAAGAAACTCCATAAAAGAATTTCTTTTATTAAGATCAAGCACCAATATTCCATGACCAAAGATTTCATCCAAGAATGGTAGTGTTCTTTCTCAGGCTCAAGAAATATCAAGTCTCCATAAAAATGTTTTACGTTTAATATCTTCATAATAAAGTATGTTAGGATATTCATAGTGTTGGACTAGTTCATCCTCACGCCCTACATCTCAATCAAGTAAGTAATAATAAAATCCAGCGTTCTACTCAAAGTTCCATGATTTTCTTGTATTTGAATTGCATCCTATTTCCGAGTTTGACTTCGTAATTATGAGATTATGATATTCTACATTTTGATAAACTTGAGTTGTTGTTCATGCTCTTATGTCACGACCCGATTTCTCAAGTCATGATGGCAC